TTATTCACGATGTACAAGGCTCGATACTTAACTTAGACGATGTACCTAAATTTTGAGCTTAGCATAAGAACAAAATAAAGCGTCGGTATAAGCACTAATATGGTAAAAGGTAAAGTAAAATGCTCGGTAGCTGTTTTAACATGAAACATGATGGGTAAGTTTTGCCAGCTGGTGATAATGCTCGTCTTCGGTATATAATATTACCATTTGTTTTTTTCAGATTAAAATCATAAACAAGAGGTGTTTTATAAAGAAGCTTCGTACAAACAGACAAATCACTTATGGTCACTTATGATTAGAATCTAAATCATAGACATAGAGACCATAGAAATAGAACAAGATCATCAATATGTAATTATTTATTCAACAAGTTAACTTAATTAGCACCTTAGTTAGTAGCGACGTAAACATTGAATCGATCATTCCGAACCGATATGTTTGTTATAAATTTGTATCAATATTTTCAAGTAGTTATACCACGACGTGACAATTTCCGATCAAAAATTTACTCTGTCGACCTTGTGGCAAAAGCTTGCAAAGTGACGGAAAATCTTTCAAAGGAAAATTATTTTCTTGCCCCCGTATTTACTCTGTCATGTTTAATTTACGATTCTGTAATTTATATTTTCATTAAAACATCATTGCGTCATGTTTACTTTGCGCATAGTTGAATCCGAATCCTTGTTCTCGTTTGCTTGGATGTTGAACACGTGTAAACTGTATGCGCGTACCCATCTGTTTCAGCGGATGTGAGGCTGACCACCCTCCCCCCCCCACACCTCGATCAAGTGGTGCTCTTTCGATGGAGGATGACCGAGGCAAACGGGGTAGTACAGCAGATCAGGGTTTTTCCATTGAACATACGCGAATTACCTTTTGACTTCATTCTCCTATAGTCCCAGGATACCGATGCTTAATTATTCTTTATGTGAGCTGCGCCTTTGGTCTTAACGGTGTAGTCACATAGAATTTTGTGGTTCGCACTCGGCTATCCATACGCATTCGCGGCGCACGACGATACTCTATGCGAATAAGTGAGTAATAGCAGTCTGCCTGTAATAGCACGAAGCCGCAAAACATCGCTGCAGGCACGGATACCGTACCACAGGGGGGTGTTCTAATGACGCAAACTAACGCGGTTTGACTAGAGTGCGAAAGTATCGACGGACCAGGAGTTGGTGCATTTCAGTTGCCAGCTGGGTTGGTACTGGGGCAGCATACTTTCGTGTTTGAGCGCACCTGTGTATATGGGTGAATTGACATCCAAAACTTTCACCTGTTACTTTCCACAAACAGAAGACAATGGGGGCTATAGGGCATGGGTCGGCGATGTATTTTTTGATTGTTTCACCTTTGACCATTTGGCATGTTTGCCTATCGAGTCGATACATGTATTCCTCGGTAGACTTAATAACTCTGGTCTATTCTTAATAAAATGACTGCGATGCAGACTTATGCCAGGTCGCATAACCTGTGCTACAGTGTAATAAAACGCATAGGTATCGCTAAGTGCCAATCGACCTCGAACGAAGCTTCGAATATGAAATTATGCAAGCAATCGTATTCAGTAGCGTTTCCAAGCCTTAGTTAGTACAACATACAGCCTGCCACCCATAAATTGTCCCTAAGGACTAGGAGCAGCTGAGTTTATTTAAAGCGATGAATATGCGTGCGTGGGTAATTAATTGTATAATGCAAAGAATACTACCGTGTCTCTCGCGTGTCTTTGTCAGTTGTCTCGGAAGGGCCGCGCGCACGAGTTGAAGGTCACGCCACACATTATGGGCGACCGCATTGTCGTATTAGCAATGTATCTGTGTGCGTTAAGAGCACATATTTCATTCGACTGTCGCTTTCGTATGTAGATGGATACATAAACATACGTTTTTGTGGGCCCACACTTGCTCTGGCCGTACTTCTGTCGGGCATGGCAATACGACCATTGTAACCACTTTTGCGTTATATTAAATGGCGCCTTTTTTGACCTGTTTGGGTACGGCTGACAGCTGAGCAATGTTAAGTAACGATAAACCAAGATAACACGAAATTACATTTCATACAACACTTTTATTGAAGAAATTTAGACTACTGCTTAACAGAACCATATCGTTCTTTAGTTGACATAAATTTTGCTTATTATTATTATATATTTCGTAACTGTAACTAAAATTGCAATAATACCATAATATTACGTAAATAAAGCTCTTTCTAACGCCGGCGATATGCTATAGGAGTACAATGATTCTATAGTAGAAAGAGGGAAGGCCACAAACGTAGAACTCGATTTGAAGATTAAAAAAATCGTAGGTAGCCACAGGCCGCTTAGTTAATCTGATGTTGGCTTCAATCCCCGTTTAAAATTTATAGTGCATTAAAAAAGTACGGTGCTCCACTACTCTGTCTATTCTGACAGGTCCGTACTCATGCCTGTGTTGTTTACAACGGAGTTCCAACTTTTGTAGGCACCTCGAACCGCTTTGTTGCTATTTCTGCCGGTAAAAAATGATTAGGTGGAGAAGAGCCAAGCTACCAGCTGGCATGTGAGCGTCACGCCTTTGACTTTGCATAATTGATCGATGCTTTTAACATCCTGTCCTCCTTTTCAGCACTGACGAACGGTGGTCATCATTTCCGTCCCCAACTAGGCTTTTCCTTTCCGTCCTATCATCGGATGAGTCAGCCAGGAACGACCAGATATCTATAAAACACAGTCTTCAATCGATTACACGTGTACAATATAGAAGATCTAAATACGCTCAACTAGAAGCTAGCCGTCAGGAAAAAACCGACGGGACGGAGGGCTGGCTGATGGTCCACGGCCGATGGAGGCGATTTCGAATCAATACGCTCAGATTTATATTCGCTGTGAGTTATTTGGAGTTTTGGTGAGACGCAAGTGGGCAAGCGGCCCGCGGAAGGCACAGTTCACCGTGCGCGTCATGCGGTGTCATGGATTCTATTGTGGTGGCCTAGTTTTTGCATTTTGCCCTCATCGAGATGATTGATAAAGTCCAACATTTCAAATAGACGAGAACAATAGCACTGCATCTCAGCTCGACAGCGTTTTATGCCTGAATAGGTTGCAGAGTAAGTCATTAACATATTTTGGCCATGTCAGTTTCCTACGAGATGGGGGCGCATCTTTAACGGCACTTCTCGTTCAGTTACTTTATAGAACGCACGGAAACTAGCATATGTTGCTCAACTGCAAAGGAAGTAGACCTCTTATACCTAACAATTTTCCTTTGTCGAATCTGCTTATTGGTAAATTTATATCTAAATTAATAATATCGGGGCATTCATCTGGATATATTTTTGTGAGTTCCCTAGTGAATGAGCGATTCGAGTATTTATGGTATCTGCCTCAGGGATACGCATGGGACTTTGCGACCTTACCTAAACTTTAACCCATATGCCCTCAACGTTCGCTCACTGTACATAAAACAGTTTTTTTTTTTTATATACTTTTCGCCCCCATGTCTATATGAGTTGCGTCAAGGTTAGGCTATCGCCCCCGCAAAGAAGTTATGAAGTTGCTTACATATGGTATCCATGTGTGAAGCCGGTGGGGCAACCGTCTGTGTTGACACAGCATAATTAACGGGGTTAATTTTCCGCCCGGTCCCGACCAGGCTCAATAACCCAATCGACGCTTTTAGGCGACACCGAGATGCCGTGCTGTCGCACTCTCATCTGTTCACTGCCCGCCAGCCATCAGCCTGCTGAACTCCGCTAACATTACACGTCACTTTCCGCTAAGCAAGCAGCCAGTCAAAAAGCCGACTGGGGTAAAAACGACTGCTACTTAGAGCTACTGTGTGACCGAACATAGCCTTGTACACGGTACTTTGCTACTTTCAACTTAGCCACCAGTCTTGCGGATGCCATGCGGGATCGCTACTAATCATCGCAAGCCAACATTTATGCTCTCCTCTTATTTTTGGTGCTGTCACTATTCGGCTTTGTCTGTTTGTCCCTCTGTAGCCGCCTTTCTCGCATACACTGCTACATTTAAGAGACCCAGGCACACGATGCCCAGTTGTTTTTCATTCACGTTTGGTACTCGCGCAAGCCTTCGTTTGCTTCCCGCTTGATCTCACACATCCTCTTAATGGCATGGATTAATGGCATGTGTAGCAACTAATTGCTACACATGCCATTAATCGACGCTGTCCGCTGACTCTTAGCACTAATGAAACAGACCGAAAACAAACAAAGAGCTCGCATCGTTCAACTACAAAACTACATACAACTAACGGTATTCCAACTTTGAACAGAGCGGGGGGGAGGGGGGTTCGGACCACGCACTTAGAGAGTCGTCGCACAACGATCCATCGCCATCTGTAAATCAATATCATTCATAGCTAATGACACCTACGGCTGAAGTCGCAACGTAATTTTTAGATAAATTAGCGCCCTATAAAGGCCCGCCGAAGCAGGGACCCAGAGATGCGATGCGTCCCTATGCAATTCGTAGGCGTAAATGCACCTGACTGAGCTCGCGAATGAAGTTAAATGTATTTATAAGAAAGAATTAAACACATCGTACGGAGTTTCATCAGGAGGTGGTTGAAAATTGAGGCGCCTTATAGGCGTTGAAAAATGTTTATGTTAGTTTACTTAATGCAATACCGTATGCAAAGTATGGTTAAGTCAGTAATTAGAAAAAAAAAAAACTACATTAATAGTTGTATTAATAACAATACGAATTTTGAACACAGTCATCGTCAATCACAGGCGGTACAGGTTGAGCTAAACTAACTATTTACACAGTATCTATAGCCTTTGTCACTCTCGATCTCAGTCAGATTCGTTTCTAGAAAACCTATTTAATACTTTACTCGTCATAATGTCGTATCAGTACAATAGAAATTCTATCAATAATATAGAAAATATCAGACTGTGGCAAACTTACGAAATACCCAGTATATTGTTGTAAGGGGGTTGCTTTCTGCAATTAACAAGCAAACAAGGGGGCCAGCTCTATCTACCCCTGATAGTTTGAACTTTATAATAGCTAATCGATAGAGTCCTTTCAATGATTGATGCTTGAATGATGCAGTTTTAGACGAACTAATCAACACGTTTACCTCTGATGTTTCGAATGCGGCGGTAGGTTTCGTAGGTAAACACTGTCCATTTTTAAATGCTAGCAAAAATGAAGTTATAATATAGGTACTTGATGGCACCATCGTGATAGGAAAACAGTATGGAGCGCTTCTCAGGTAGGCAACGATTTGACCCATAAGATCCGTAATCTTTAGGGGCAATTATTGAAATGAAAAAGTTTTCCTTGCCGCATAGCGTATCGTATTTTCTTATACACAACTTAAATATACAGAGCTAAATATAATTATTCGGAACATAATCTTTCAGAGTGATTTAGTATGGTTTAATTATAGCATTATGCTCTCAGAGTAAATGCGTATGTCGTCTGATCGATGCGGATCTTATATGGCCATCACAGGCCAATCTAATGAAGTATATTATATAGGACAATTGTTGAAGAGTTCGCAAAATTTATGGCTGAGTGATAAGTCAGATAGGAAGTGCCCTCCGCGCTATAACCAAGTGGTTCGAAATCGGTTGATTTCTAATTACGATTAGGTAACATAACTTCCTCATGCATAATGACTCGCTCCTACAATCATTAAAGCTTCTCTGATACAGGGTAACTGAACGCGTGGACGTAGTAACCCTAATGATAGATGCCTGGCTTTAAATGCAATGTGGGCTAAAAAGTCTATTAGTAAACAATCTGTGTCTATATTTCATGTATGAGATAGGCTTGCCATATCTAATACGGATATTTAGAACAAATGGGAATATCTAAGACAGTGGTATCGCTAACTTGTATAACTTACTGTAAAATTTAGTCAACGAGAAAAGCCATTGATTTTTAGATATATTTGTAATAAAATAAATTATCTTAATAAGTTCAATACATATTTTATGCACCTATGGCTTTATAGAAAAAAAAACGAATCTATTTTCCTGAGTGAAATTAATACAAGTCAAACTAAAGCGGGTTGAGTATTACGTAACAAAGAGCTCCCCCCCCCGCCCCCCACAAGCTTTGTCGATAAAATAAAATTAGAAAAGACCTAAAAATCTTACTCCGAAACAAGAGCGAATACTATGAATAGTCATGTAACATTTTTTCGAACAATAAAGCATACGCGCTGCTCATCTAAGAATTTTTGCCAGAAAAGACTGATTTAGTTAATACGATGGTATGCCACTATCGAAAGCCTTTTTGAGGCAGCCGGGTGATAGCAGGTGGGTCGGCCAAACTAACTTGTATTGACCGGTCTCGAAGGGGGTATTTTGCCTGGAAAAACATCTGACTGACTCCAGATGCCGCACTAATGAAGATTGGCATTACACGAAACCCCATTTCTAGCTTACTAGCAGAATTGCGGGCCTCGCGGGTATATTTTATTGGATAGTATAGTAATTCCGTCAAGGTAATCGGATATTTGCGTGATATTGGAGGCACACAACTAACCAGGTAGTAATAGCTGCCGCTTCATGGACATTGGTCGTCCGTATGCGTGAAACTAACCAGTCCAGAATTTCGTTATCAACCAAAAGATAGAGTTAGAGAGAGGGAGAGAGAGAGAGAGAAACCATCTTGAAATAGTGAGCCGTGTCTATTTATTGAGAAAAAGGTTTTCTAAAAGTCAGACTATACGTTCTTCGCATTCTTAGTAGACTTATCGCGCAAATCTGGTCAATAACACACTGTTAAATTTAACTGAATATGAGGGAGTCACGCATGCCGTACTCCGAAAAATAACCGGCATGAGAATAGTCACGAAAACAGGTGCCTCGTGAGAAGTTGTGCGGCTGTAATCGTTAGCGATTACTTTGTTATGTGTAAGTTTAACTTCAGCTTCAGTGATAATATGATCTTTCTGAATACCATTCGAAGTGTGCATATGCATGCTGTGTTAACTGTATAGCGTAATATCAACCTCGAAACAGTGTTCCTTTGTATGTACCATTGGAGATTTTATTTGACGAATGGCTTTAATTTATCTAACCTACGTGCAATATATGCCTTGTGTTTATCATATTCCCTGGCGGACGTTTTACTACTACAAAAAACTATTCATTCATGCATGGGAGTAAAAGTTCCTACTACAAGCCACAAGCATTAGGGAACAAGCACAGCAGACGATTCTGGGATGCCTTTGGGATTTGCGTTAATGGAAAGACGTAAACGTTCGCTTGTTCCCCTCGAAGCAGCAGCACGTGGGTTGATGACTCTTTCTGTCCACGCTGTGCAATTTTGCATATAGCTATATGCTAGTTCTTTTTAAACGGTCCATCTATTGAACCCTCTATTTGCAGCAGGCTTTAAATGTAGGTCTACATACAACACCACCTCTAACGAACGCGTGCCTATGTTCGCATAATACCATGATTTTGCTTTTGCCTCAACATTGTATAGGAACAAATGCTCTGAATGGAAATAGGTTTATTCCCGCGAGCATGCATCCGCATTTCGTCATCACAGTATAGTCTCAAGTAGTCACTGTTTTTTCAACGACTTTTACCTTATCTAGAGCTAGACCAATTCGAGCGTTTGCAATTTTTCTTTAGAAATTCGCATATTTAAATGTTGTCATATTACCATCAAAGCACCGTTGAAAGTTTACGTCTAACGATAAAAGTAAGACTTCCTAGGGGCATGTTGTTCTGACCGGACCCTGTTAAAATCTGCTTTTTATGTTCAAGCTAAATATAACTTTTTTTAAAATAGCTCAAACTTCAATAGCAAATAGCAGGTATAAATTTGAAATACAAAATATTTATCCATACTAGCTTAGCTCAAAGCATACAGCCTACCTTGTAAATTAAAACTAAAATAAACAATTCAAATTATCCCACGTTATTTAATTACGGCCACATGTATTTTGAGATAGACACGACGAGGTTTCCCCTCTTACTCCGCCGGAGGTTCACACATTCAGACTTTCACTACTGGTATTATCAATACAGGGTTGTATCATCCCACTCCTCTGCTTCTTGTCCTTATTTTCAGTAAAAATAGCTGAATATATTATCTTATTAAATTAGCCAACTAGTGTTACGTGGATGCATCGTGTGCGTCCGAGCAATGCAGCCTGTAGCCGTTAAAATTGGTAAAGTTTAATGTTTTTGGGAATTCGATTTTGATGTAACATGGTACCTTAATTGATGAGCGCCAACTCCTTGCAAAATCGGTTCAGGTTCATAATTCAATATTCAATATTTTGGGATTGATTCTGTTATAAGTGGATTCAATCAAGTTTAGTCAATACGTACATGATGGTGCAAAGCGTAATCGCTCATAGCTTGAGGTACAAGTCGAAATGGGTATCCGGGACGTGCTTCACTCCCACAACTTTTAGCCTAACCGGAGTGGTAGATTTCAATGAAGCACCAGTGACATAGAATAAGAAAATTACCTGTTACAACTGTCAGGATACGGATGGTTGACTAACTACACTTATCGGCTGTGTTCGTGAAAAATCCATCAGATTTATTGTTATATACAACTTTTCTACAATCAGACAAACCTCTTGTTCAAACTAAGTATTTTAAGTGGCGATATTAACAAATTGAGGACTATCAGGGCTACTTAAAATGAACACACTTATACAGAGTGGACGTATAGAAAGTATATACAGCGTTATGTGCTTAGGCATGTGCATTTTGGATTTCATGTACAATCTTATTTTGTCTGAACGCCTGTAATGCCTAAAAAAACTACGAGCGGCAAAAACATATGTATTGTTTAAGATCATTTAAAGGTAAGGCATTTGAGGAAGTTTAAAGACAAAGTGAACATTGGAAGGTAAATTCATATCAAGATCAGGCCGTTAGCCTCGGGCCGACGTCAACGCCGTGCCAGTCAAAGGCAAGGATCTTTAGGCCATACGAAAAGTGTTGTGCCTTTAAACAATAACCTACCAAGGTTTGTATCTCACTAAATGCGCAAGATGAACTGGTTGAATGTTTCAGATATACCTTTTGACCTACGTACAATTCAATTTCAGCTGAATAATATAAATCAGTGCGGTCGAGCTGTCAAATGAAATTATTCTAATGGGGTACTGACCAACCCTACGATGGAGTGCGTTCCGCACTCTGATTGGGTCGGGAATATAGCAAGTCGCTTAGCCCGGGATTATACTAAACCCTGCATTAACTCTCGTCCGAATAGCCTGAGAAGACCAAGCTCTAGGGCTAGGTGGGCCGAGCGGCTAACTTCTATATCAACCCACTGGTGTTATTCCGTCTTTAATCCCCCAAATCGCTCCCAGCAGAAGAGTACTTCAGCTTCATTGCAGGTTTACACAAGACTTAAAGAAGACAACGAAGACAATACCGGAACTAAAACAGACTCCAAATCAGGCTATATTAACCAGACGTAAACATTGGGCACAAAAAGCATGTACGTGCGTCTGCATCATACCACCATCTTCCTGTAGGTTTTTTAAACAGTCTCTCATGCCCTTGCCTCACGTCCTCTCGCGGACCAGCATTATACGGCTCCGGCGAAAGAAACAGTTTGCGGATATGTCTGAACAGTGAGCAAGAGAGAGATATCGTTGCATCAAACACCTCTGTCACAGTCCAGTCAATCAGCTTTTGGCATACTAACGGAACTAAATGTTAAACTCTTCTGCCGTTAAAAGAATACCCTGAGCAAATCCGTATAGAGGCATACGAAATAGGTAGAAAGAAAGTTTCTTCCCGTTTCGGAGTCGGTGGCTTGGTCGGTCAAGTCATTGACAGGCTCTCAATAGGCTAAATATTACAGCGGGAATAAAGCCGAACTACCATTCTTTGAAGATGCTTTCACGTCCCTAGACTTTCATCTCTGCAACATCCATTTGCCTGCTAGTTTCGTTTAGAAGAATGAAGTGTTGGTGCATGATTATGGTACTACATATACCACGAAAAGCTAACAGGCTCCATACAATGCCTCAGCCGACCTAGCCTTTAGTTGCGCCTTGAGAAGTAACCGTGCCCGACCACAGACAATAGAACGCATACATTAGAACGCTCCGAAATCAGATGCGCACGCACAGCATACATGCACACACTTACTGGCTCATACATTGTTTCTCTATGATCATGACTCGAAGCGTTCATACACATAGTTTTTCGCCATACGTGCAACCCAGTTGCGCCCGCGTTAGCTGAGCCTGTCGGCCGACGTAACCACCTACAGCTAAGTCGTCTTTCCGTTCGTATGGACACTAAGTCGCGAAGCGGCACAGTGCGAGAACATTTTATACTCCATTAGCTGATGTGTTTGCGTTCTCGGGACTTACTGCATGCTCCGATCAGCACCGTCGTTACCAACGCAATCATAGTTACGGCCAACAAAGCCATGTTTGCAGAACTGCGTTAGATGGCGTAGACTGTATAGCGGCGGTATGTTTCTGTTCGAGCATACAAAACAGGCCAGTAGCCTTAATGCAATGCTCATACTGAACTAGATAAAGGGAAACAAAGGAAGAAGTTTTTGCGATTAGCGCTGGCAATCCGTTTCTACTGCATTTTCGTACGCCTCATAAGGCTGTTTAGGTCTGTCTTTCAAAGGTAGTTATTCTTTTCCTGAAGGACGCACTAACGGCTGGTGAATAGAGCTGGATTTTGGATGGGGCAAGGTCTTTTCCTTGATTTGCCTGGCTGTCAAATATGCACAGTTCATGCGCCTGTTCAGTTGTTTTGAAGTGCAGCGCGATCATAATAAGGTACTTTAGTTAACAGATAGATGGCTTGTACACGCAAGATGTTTCAATATCGTTTCAATATAGGCTGTTGAGGGGGTATCAGCCATAGCACTCTCTCAGTTCTCACCGTGTTTTTAGATAGTTTACATAAGGCACATATTACTAGCTGACATCCAACGCCAAGTAGCTACCTTATCCGTTCTTGTTCTCTTTGTTCTGGAGGTAAAACCTCGGTTGTCTAACCATGGAACTTTATATTCCATTAGCCTAAGTTAAATACGTGCGGCATACATAGATTCATTGATAAAATCTGTGACCAAATAAGATAAATCTTAGTGCCTTTGTTAACCTGCCGAAAAGATCTTCGAATTCGCGCTCGTACCATTCAGCATGATAACGAATAACTACGAGAGGTTTACTTGTTTGAAATAGAATGACACGTGTATGCAAAGAGATGAACCTGTCAAATAGAAACCGTTGCTAGTTCTCCAGCATCATCAGACAAGCAAGGCTTACTTTCGGTTAGAGAAGATGTGTTTGCGTTATACAACGTCGACAAACATCTTCTGATGATTATATGAAAGGCAATACTACGCATACAGGCGACGGATTTCAGCTGTCAAAACACGGACCCATTTCATTAGATGCGCCTGAGTCAAAAGGAGACATCGAGTGGGTCTTGTGTAGGTGGCAACCAAAGTGAGAGTTGGCACCGTAAGCCCAATGGTCTCGTGCAAGCTTATTTTGCCCGATACGCTTTATCTGGTATGCGTTGAGGAACCTGTTAGAATACCCTTTTAAAAAGGGGAGGCGGACGCACCAAAAGTGTCGCAGAGAGCGTCTAACCCAAGTGCGACGTTTCGCGCCTAAGTGCAGCCGCAATTCATAGAGATATTGTAAACGGAAAAAAATACAAGCATTATTTAGGGAGTCATTTCTCTATCTCGGTATTACTGTTCCCTCCGTCAAAAAAGTAACAAGCAAAACTGCGCCGTTATACTCTAGCATATATGCTTGACTCCATTTATAATCTTTGTGTCGATAAAAGCATGATATTTTTGCCCTTTTCAGTCAGTCTATATTCTAGATCCGCGCCCATGTACAAGTGGATTTTTCGCTTCTGTACCTGATAGAGAACGATTTCTTTTTTAGTATACTAAAAATATAAAACATTATTTAGTCAAGCAAAAGACAGGACTGTGATTGCAGCAATGATGAAAAAGACTCAAAGGACTACCGATATTGCAAATGGATCGATGCATCGATCTGAAGCTATATTTAACTGAGGAAATAGCAAAGATAAAACTATTCAAAACGTTCATATATAATAAATGTGTAAAACAGAAAACCTTTAATGTGATCTCAAGCGAAAATAAAACACATTTACAACAAGTGTAGTATATTTACCTATAAATCCTCCCACCTCCGCCGCCTTTCTCACCTATCGGTCGTCCCGATGTAACGACTGAGCTTGACTTTGAAGGAGCACGCGCCAATCGCCAATGAGAGAGCAAAGGTACTTTCGACGTGAGGCTGTGCTACCCTGTCCTCTCTGTAAACTACTCTCACTACTTGTTTTCACTATTTCTTTATTTTCGCTTACCAATGTACTGTACTCGGGTCCCCTGGCAACCCTAAGCTGTTCGATCAGTGCCATATCCAACTTGTATCAAACGCGCATGTTCTCTCTTTTCATTCATTATTTTTTGGATTCGTGCCCATTTCCCTTTTTGAGATTTGTTGTCTAGAACTTCCAACGTGAGTTTAAGTCTTTCCCGCTCTCCAAAATCGCAGGCTGTCTTCGGGGGTAGGAGATAGTGACAAACTGCAAGTTCGCAATCTTCGAGTTTGGACCCCCTTGGATTTAGTACAGCCAAATGGCTCCGGTGCACAATTCAACGACAGCGGACGTTTATCTTCTTTCGTTCATAACAGCCAAAGTTGTGCCATCCGCGTTTGTCCGGTGCGCGTACAGCTGATGTTATGACACGGTGAGCGAATTTCGAACGCCGCAACGCTCTACCTAGCCCGAAATATCGCACACGCAAGCCGTAAGTAGATAGACAGCTATTCGTCTTTTTATCGCCTTCAGTTCTCTCCGTTGTATCGTCTCGTTTTAAGCACTCCCCGTGTTTTTACCCCTATCAGACGTTACTGCAGCGGGGAAAAACGCGCGCAGGTTGCTGTGACGAGGACGTATGTAAACTTGAAATAGTTCAATAGAGTTACTTGGCTGAACGGGGAGGAACTTGCTCCTTTTCAAAAGCCAAAAAAAAGCGTACGAATCGCAATGATGCGCAGTCTTACTCCTTACAATCGCGTACCGGCAAGAAATTATGACAACATTAACTTCAATCGCTCACACATCAAGTGTCTGACGCAACGCTGCTTTATGAGGTTCGTCACAAAAAAATTCAAAAACCTTGTTAAAGTGATTACGACACATAAAAGCTTGCTTATGTTGTGTGTTTCAAGAGTGTCGCATAAGGCAAAGTAGGAAATTGGCCTATAGATCGTTGATTAGACGTAATGGTCTGGCGTTGCTGCGGCGATTCAAAACTTGACAAGAGCTTTAATTGTCGAAATGTTTCTAGGGTATGCCCGACATCGTCCCAAATACGCACGACCACTACTGCTTTCCGAATCTGTTGTGTAGCAGACGTTGTTTACAAAACGTTGTATAGCTATGCTATATATTGATTCCGTGTCAGTCCGAGTCGTTTAATACTAAACGGTTACCATCATAAATGACATTTTGACAGTTAAAGCTATTATTTCGAACAATAACAGTGGGCATTAGTTATCCAAGTGAACTCCGCTAAAATTGATTTTCTGTATAATTTTTCTCGAAAAACATCTGCTATTTTGCCTCTGCCTTATTTCCACCCTTTGTACCTATTTAGCTGAATAAGAAGGATCAATGTTAAGTAAGTAGATAGCTCGTTTGACGTGAGCTCAAATCTGAAATATTGTCTTTCAATTCAATCAAGCTTACTTGTTTCTGTTAAGTAAATTATAAAAACTATTATATAACACTATTGATGTAATATATCGTAGTGCGGTTCGCTCGGTAATGATATATAGTTATTTACATCCTATTCGTTCCGTGACTGTATAATGTGTTAACACTTTTATACACTCTCAATGTTATTGATATCGGTATGATATAATATATTGTTGTTTCAATGTTTGGATGACCGCGTTTTGCGACACTGGATTATTTGGTCGGGTCGACGAAGGCAGAACTGGGTCTGATCTTGACCACAGCTGATCAATTAATACCCTTATATATATATATATATATAGATATATAAAATTCTATGCCTTCCTCGATTTGCAATGAGATTAGAGGCCTGAATATACCTGGGCCTATAGTTTCGTTATCATATTTGGGTTCGGTCCGTTTACAAGCTAGTAGGGGAGCTGAAAGGAAGCTATTTTCTTTCATACTTAGTAGACTTTTGAAAAGCATTATACCACGAGAGGTCAACACTGTTATTGGGCAATAGAGTGACCGCATGGAAAGGAATGAACAGTGTCGGATCCGTTTCCTATAGTATAACAATTTTAACATTAATAAGATAGTATTGAACTAGGAGCGCATTAATAAGTTTTTAATGGGCGCCTTCTACATTTCATCCGACAGTTGAACAACGAATAGCAAGCTAATCAATAACAAATCTCTTGACGGAGTCATTGACTCTTAACGGAGATGGGCGTCGATTTGATTATTTCCAATGTTTATATTTTTACAGGACAAATTGCCTTAATACGATTCTCATATCACTAAGAGTTGGGATCACCTGGGGTGTAACTTTCAGGAAGAGGGACCCTTGAGAGTAGCATCACTATCGACATGGTATCTAAACTCTCTAAACGGCTCTTTTTTAAAAAAGGGCCGTTAGGCATTACTTCATATGGTTGATCCCCAGGCACGAAAATTGTACTTGAAAGGCGAACACGCTACTCGCTGCATTAGTACGGGAACTATCTATATAATGCTTGTATATTATTTTAGCAGTATAGATATAATACAAAAAAAAAAAAAAACATATCCCCTTGGCCCTTGGAGCTGGACAAAGGATGCACCTTGTCCCGTTTTCTTGAGTTATGACAACGCGCTAATGTGATCATTATACCTTTATTACAAGCCCTTTCCTTATCTCAAATCTGTCTCACTCCCCACAGCTTCTAATTTCCGCCAATATTTGTTCACCTGTTATACATAATTCTAGTGGAAGAAAAAGCTTTGTACAAACGTATTGTTTTTCCCACCATTCCAATATTTGAACGATGCCGACTGAGATGGGAGATGGAACAAGAGTGCAGCAAGCACGAAAAACAAACCGGTACGGACCAAGCCAAGACTGATCTTCACCGGTTGGCTTCTACGGTTCGTCACAGCATACCTTTGTGGGAAGCTGCTATCGGAGCTTCTCAATACAATATGTAAGGTCTGCGATGTTTGGAAACTTCATAACTTTACTACAACTTTTTTTTTAAATACCAATACATCAATTAATCGATAGCATTTTGACGTACAATTACGATTCCAGCGTTTTTGCTACCTCTTTCATCACGTCGACAAGTAGTTCTTCATTAACAAAACTGAGCACCGTGCCACAAACTATGACAATGATGATACATTTATTATATCATTATCATCATCATCCGTTTCGTTCTTATATTGCGCTAGCTAGGCGGATCGGTCTCGTTCCTTTTTCGGTGTTCCTTTCATAATATACGTGTATATTATTATACTGCTGTACTGAGAGCAACTCATCTTCTTATTGTCCGAAGTGTACCTAGACGACTTGATTTGCTGGCAAGAACATCTCCTTACTGTTTTAGAGAAGAAACGTTGCGGTCTAGCTACCTGTGTTGTTTTGGACTTTGGCCCGTTATTTGTGAAGACACAGTTTCTGGTGTTGCATTGATTAAGCGCACTTTGGTATTTACATTCAACTCGTTGATTTGATGTTTTTGCGGCGTCTACAAGCTTTTGGATATTGCGAAATACTGGAACGTTCTTGAGATAGCGTACGGCTACAAAATTGAAAAGTCAACTTTTTGGATGATGCCGAGCTCCTTTACGCGGCTCGATTTGGACTCTGTTATGGGGTATAGACATAGCGTTTTACGGTTGTTATATTAGTCTAGCTCTTTGGTTGACGTAAATTTTTATTGATCATGAAAGTTGGCCCAGTTCTCCAAAGTCTACAAGGTTTATCTTGATCAGTGATCGCGTTCACTCGTTTCACTTTGCTTCTGGATCAGTTTTAGCCCAAGCAACTGTTCATCGACACCAATGTTTGCATCCCCTATCGATGATTCAGAACATTACTTCCTATTGTACATCGTGGCGTACTAAAGCTGCTATCTCGATCTTTTTTTCCTGTAAGCAAATTAAGAAGAAAATGCAATATGCGGACTAGATTTTGCAACTAAACTATTTGTCTGGCCTCTCACCCACGCAACCCCAGACCACATCGTGGTCTTGGGCCTTGATTTAAAACTGGGCTTAACATTACATACATCGAAATCAAGGCTGACCTTTGTTGGTTCTATAGTCACCTATCGTGACTGGTCGCACATTTTGACCATTTTTCGATCACTGTGCTCAAGATACGGCTCTCGTACCTTGTTATTCACATTTTGGTACCTGCAAAGGCCCACAGTGCGGCGTGTCAGGCTTGTATGGAGAATACCGCAGAGTTCTGTTGTTTATGTTGCGACGAGACGTAGTGTAAGAGCTGCATTTACACTTTCGGGCTGGGATTTTTGTCTAAAACGCGATGTCGGACTCATATTCTTCCAGTACTTCTTCGCTCTGGACCATTCTGATTGTATGTTTCTACCTCTGTTCGAATCTGCATATATGGCGGTGTAATTAGGTTTGTTACACACTTCTTGTGTATAACCGATAGCCGGCCACTGCGGTTGCGAGTGCAGACTTTTACATTTTCGTGTCCGTCCATGTCCTGCGTGTCACGCTCTTGGCGGTGTTCTCGCAGTCTCTGGATTGTTCCGTTGGATTTCATGACTGCTGATTCTTCCGCTATATTTTTCACCGATTTTTTTTTCTGTAATTTGCAGAGCCCGTTGATGGTCAGCTCGTTCGTTTTTTCAAATGTCTCTAGGGTTAGCATTACTGGCTTGAGCGCTAACTTGTTATGACATTTTCTCGAAAAAACGACCCGTCGCCATTGCAAGGAGTCTCCAAAACCAGGTTGCCCTTTGGAATCTCTTTCTTACTGCTTCACTCACAAATCACGTCGCTTCCTGTGCTGACTCATGCGTTTTTAAATTCCTTGACCGTTACGGTGTCCCGTAGCACAGCTTCCTGGAACATGTACCTATGAAATATTATTTACTACTATATTTTTTAAACTGGCACGGTGCATCAATACGTTTTGTTCAGTGTTTCACATGGTTCTACTTTCGTCTAATGGGGCGTATCGTTTGCGGTCATCTCTGCGTCGAGGCTATTTAGAAATATGCAACGTAGGTTCCGAAAAGCTGATACGAGGTAGGCGATTTGTTTGCGAGGGTTTTCTTTGTAGGCGTTATTTATGAGCGCGTAATCTATTCGTACCCCCCCCCCCTCTTCCGAGCTATTAACTTTATTACTCATCGGTCAGTGAACGTCGAATCTTCGGGTAATCTTTTCGATTGTTTGTTAGCTGTTTGTTTTTCTAGTCCCTTCAAAGTGCGGTCACACATCATCCTATCTTCTGATCTCTATCACCTTTCTTGAGTTACCACTTTTCGCGTTTTGAATTTCACTTATCAGTTGGGCTGGATCATATTAATCTGTGATTAGAAACAACGATGCCTTCATATTCAAGCTGTGCATGTACGTTTGCCGTGTCATCTAGTTCAGCTTCTTTGAGTTTCTGTTGTCTTCTTTCAAACTCCCATGCGTTCCCTTTATGCTTATCTTTCCAACGAGAAACATTTGGTGAAGTTTGTGAACGCGCATGCACTTACAGATAGACACTCTTCGTTTGTTGCTAGTAGTTGCTCGTTTCGTCCTCGACATTGCATCGCTGCCTTTTTTCATGTCGTTGACTAGAAGTTTCCTGTGTGTCTGCATCCGCCGTACTCCTGCATTATGCGCATCATCTTTACCTTTCGCCCTACGACTCGCACATTTTCCTCCGTCAAGTACCTTACATTACGTTAGCGAAAACACATTCTGCTGCAGATAAACATATGCGTATTCGCGTCACGTAGGTCAGGTTGTATATGCGTGTGAGGCTGCACCAAAGAGTTTGCATTGGACGGTAGATGGTACGGCAATGAGAAGCGCTGTACCAGCCTGGACTTAGAGCGTGATCTCTGCCATGTCTTGCCCAACCAAAGTAGTGCTAAACTGCCCATATACGACAACCTCGCTAGCAAAGCCAGGCGAAGTAAGCACTGCTATGTGCAGCAGTAAAAACCTTCGAGTATGCTGCTTCTGCTCGATAGGTACTGGGTTAAGTTGAGGTTATTGGCTATTGGTGGAAGTAACGATGGCTTAAACATGAAATACGAAAGGAGCGACAAGAGAGATAGAGGAGGCAGACAAAGGCGCAGGGCCACGTTTGGCTTTTCG